GCCCTGGGAACTGCCCTGCACCGGTGGGTTCTTACCACCTCCTGCCTGCTTTCACTAGAACTTTGGGTTCGATGTATTGTTTGGAGTGACCTTAGGCGATTTGGGGGGGCTGGAAATGCTCAAGGTTTTCCCATGTAAATGAAGGACAGTGTGTTTCTCCGCCTTAGGCCCCTCTCTCGGCTTAGGAGAGGTTTGCCGTTTCCCTCTGCTCTCCGATAGCGGGACACCCGTAGGTGATCGTACTTGCAAAGCGCCTGACACGATAAGACTCCCAGGAACAACCGATGCCGCGGGAGCAGCTCTGGAAACTGAGGCCAGAAAGGGGCTGGCGGCCCCTCGTGCGGCTCCCCCACGCCCAGCCGCGGCCCCGCGTCCTCCCCTCGCCCTCTCGCAGGGGTGTGTCCGCAGCAGCTGCCGCCCAGCCACCCAGTCTGTGCTGAGCAACCTTACAGATGGGGTGTGGGGGCCCAGAGGGGTGAGTGAGGAGGACACAGTCAGGATTTGAACCCAGGGAGCTGGGCCAGGGTCTGGCACACATCCACTCCGGGCCCTACCTGGGGGTCCACACCCTTCAGGCCTCCCCAGGCCCCTGGGGCTCACCACGGGTAGCCGCACCTCCTCTTCCTCCTCTTCTCTTCCTCCGCAGGCCGGGCCCGCCCACCACTCTCCTCCGAGCACCCCCTGTCCTGCCAGCTGTGCCACGTGCTGAACACACTTTCTCAGGTGTATTCCCCCCGCTCCCCACCCCCGCCCTCACAGGTCCACCTGCCACTTCCTGGGCACTGCCGATGGGATTCCCATCAGCCCACATCCTCAGGCAGTGACACAGCCTGTTTCACAATGGGAACAAGTGAGGACCAGAGAGGGTAAGAGGCTCCCCAGGGTCACACAGCTCACAGGTGAGCACAGAGTTACTCTCAGGAACCTAGGGGGGCACCTGTTTGCGCCCCGTCCGGCTGCAGTCTGTGGGGTCATCCCGGCCCACCCTGCTGGAACTGCCTAAGTCCCACGGGACGTCTCTCTGCTACCCTCGGCCACCCACCGGGAGCTCAGTCCCAGCCCCCAACCCAACTCAACTGCAAATATAAAGACCAGCTTGGAAGCTTCTCCCTCCACCCCCAACCAGCACTGCAGCCCCTAAATTGGTTCAGAAAACGCCTTCTTGAGACGCGCACCCACCCACTGAATGCCAGTTTAAAACTGCCGGAGGGTTTTTTTCCACCTTTACTATAAAAAGACACCTTGAAACGCAGCATCGACATTTGCCTGTCGGCTTTCTTTTTGATTTAAAAATATAAATATGGCCATTCAAAGACTGAAGGCATGAAGCAGAGGGAGCTAGGCGCTTCCTTGCCCTGTGACTCAGTTTCCCAGAAATGGCATGTGGCAACTAACTTAATTCGCTTTTACCTCAAACCAGAGTTGAAGTAAGAGGTCCCAGCCACCTGCCACGGAAGCTAATTCCCTCTCGATTTCTCTCTCATATAGACCAACAGCCCCAAATGCACCCCAATCAATATCAGGGACAGAGTTGGGGCCCCCGAAAGCTGGGGAGATGGGGTTGTTTGCCTCTGACCTCACGGCCCCCAGACTCTGGAGTGGTGAACAGCCTGGGGGTTCCTGGCAGGGCCCAGGGTCACTGAGAGAACAAAGTCATCCTCTTGCCATGAAGCTCCCTGTTGCAGCCCCTGCCCTGCCAGCTGGGCAGGCTCTGGCCTCCCCTCTCTCCTGTCACCCCAACTTCTGGGGCAGCACCCCAGCATCCCAGCCAGTCCTGACCCCTCTGCTTCCCTCCACACCCTCAAATCAGGCCCATCACCCAGCCCTGCCACCCTGGAGCCAGGCCCGACCGCGCCTCCACAAGGCTGCCCTGGTAAGTGCCCAGAAGTATTTGCAAATGTGTGGGTCTCGGGCTGGAAGGCTGCCCCCAGCTGCTCCCAGGCTCTCCTCTCTCCTCACCAGCCAGGAACTTCCTGGAATCATTATGTTACAACCATCGAATCTGCAGCCACGCCCGCCCGCATGCACAGAGTTCTCTATGCGTGAGCTCGTGTGGCCCCGTCTTGAGGGTACTTACCACCCGGTTCTACAGAAGTGGAAACTGAGGTGTCGTGCTGATTGGTCACCTGGCTAAAACCCAGCTGGCTCCCATGTGCCGGGGATAAAGTCCAGTCCCCAACTTGGCCTGCCCGCACCCTGAACCTGCCACCCTCCAGCGCCCCCAAGACACTGTCCGCCCTCCTGCTGTCGGGTCCCCCAGGCCTCTGGCAGGGCTGACTGCCCAGCCTGGACCTTCCTTCTGCCAGCTCTACCTTACCTCCACTTCGCTCCCACTTTCCCTCGGAAGCCCTGGTGCCCCGGACCAGGCACAGCAGGGCCTTTGGAAACGTCTACTGAGACTCCCGCCCGGGTCTAGAGCTGGGAGGTGACGGCGTCTGTACTGCTGGAGAACAAGCCAAGATGGTCACTGCTTGCTGTCTAGGATCAAGCGCAGACCTGGGCTATAATGTCCCCTGGGGGAATGACAGCAACAAAAGAGGTGGCATCTGCCAGGTGCTTCCTTCAAGCCAGGCACGAGCACGTCACCAAAATTCATTTAGTCCCACAAACAACCCTTAAGGATGTGCTTCTGTGGTCCCCAATTTACAGATCAGGAAACTGAGGCGCAGAGAGGTTACGGCACTGGCCAAGGTCATGCAGCCGGGAAGGAAAACCTAAGCTTTGAACCCAGGGAACAAGGTCCAAACCCTTAGGCCATAACTGGGGAGACACCCAGAGCAAAATAAACGATTTCCCTGTCCACTCTGCCCCTGCCCACCCCGGGCTGGGGGCCGTGGACACATCTGGAAGCAGCGCCTCCAGATGTGTGGACACTGCCTGTGCCCACCACGGGGTGGAGGGAAGGACGAACCTGTGGGAAACACAGGTAGGGTGGAAGAGGAGCAGGTAGCCTCTGGCCCTGGGGAGGGAGGAGGCCCTTGGCCACCCTCTCCGTCCCTGAGAGGGGCAAGGCCCAGCCCCCTTCAGCAGTGAGTCACTGCGGGGCCAGGCTGGGAGGAGGGACCGTGGGAACCAGGCTGGTTCCTGCCAGAGGACGGGGGAGGGGGAACTGTGGCCAGAGGAATCCCAAGGAGCAGCC